TCCCTGAGTCGCATACTTCTTCCTGTGGATCGCATTAGACGCAGCCCGTAATTGGAGATACGAAGAAAGTAAATTCATACATGAGTATGTATTATTTTTTTTATTTTAGTGTCAGTCCTACTCCTAGAGTCGTTCGACTTGTCTGAACTTCTGAATCTAAATCAACCTGGTAGAGGCTTGGCTCCAATATTTTCTTTAAATCGTTGTTAATTCTGACGATTTTAATTTAGTTGTGTAAATGTTGTAATATCGTTTGTGTTTAATGCATTTTTTATGAGGTCTGTTAATTTAAGCAGTGTTTTCCGAGCTTATAATGACTCTATTTGATTTCCGCATGTGGTCGTAGACTATTTGTAAGTTATATTTGGTACATTTAATCATTGTTCGTTCCTCGTGTTTATACATTTTTATCAATATATTTCGCTTAATGTTTTTTAGTAATAATATTTTTATTTTTTTATAGTTTTGATTATATTTTTTTGTTTTTCTTCACTTTTTATCTTTTTTGTTTTATCTTGCTTATTTTTCAGCCAGTATTTTTCGCTTGGTTTATCGCGCTGTTTAAGATGGTAACGTACTTTACTGATTTTATTTTCTCTTTAGACCAAGAAGAGACGAAACAATGGTCGTTCAAAGAAAGGTCGGGGTCATGTTCAATTTGTTCGCTGCAGCAATTGTGGCAGATGCTGCCCTAAGGATAAACGCATTCCGAAATTTGTAGTTAGGAACATTGTTGAAGCTGCCGCTGTTAAGGATTTGACTGAAGCATCTCTTTACTCTGGTATGTCATTCTTTGTTTTTTTACGTTGTTTGTGGTTGCCTAGTAGTTTGCCTTATTTCATGCTAAGTATTGCTTTGGATTTGTTTTCGTTGTGCTAGTGGTTTTCCTCTTGTGATATAAATTTTATGGTGCATTACTTGTTTTCATTGTGAGCTGCTTTGAACGTCGGTCATAAATAACCCTTTTAGGTTACGCGTTGCCAAAGCTTTATGTTAAGCTGCAATACTGTGTTAGCTGCGCGATACATGGGAAGATCCTGCGAAGCCGCTCTAAGGCAGATCGGAAAATCCGGAAACCTATCCAGCGTCGCATTGAATTGAATCGTAACTAACAGTGTATAGTTTTTATAGTTGGTGTGTATAACTGCATAAGGGCTGACGAGTTGCATCTGTTTGCTTAGTTTTTTACGTGGTTAATGATTGGTCTTAACCTGGGATCCGCCGTGGGCACTAGTTTGTTATCTTCCAGTCGGTAATCTGAGGTGGAACCTAATTTTTAGGTGGTTTGAAAGTTTTCATTCTGCGAATTTTACCCCTGGGATGTTCTTTTTTTCTGGCTTCTTCATTGTTCCCTTTTCGGCATTGATGTTGAAGATGACGGTGTTGGGTCGTTTTTTCTTGGGTTGGTGGTTATGGTAGTTATGACGGCTGGGCTTTCGGGACGGGTTAAAGTCTACCAGTGAAGACTGTTGGTTTTGTTCTACGTTCTATTCCATTGTAGGGCCGGTAGTAGTCGTTGTATGCTCGGTGCCACGGTAGAGTGGGTTTTGACGAGTTAAGGTGGGTTTTCATCATTCTGGCTGCGCTGTAGCTTTATAGCCACGTTAGCTTTAGTTAGCTGATGAAATACGTGCAAAAGACTGTACTATCATCATAGATCGGGTTGTGGTTGTGTCCGAGCTTGGGTACCTTAAGTTTCGTAGATTGAAGTTCGGTCCTTACTTTTCGTCCCTAATAAGCATGGTAGAGTTTAGTGGGTCTCGTTAGCGCACCTCGTGAAACGTGACCAAACCACCTCACATCTGCTCATGCCTATAACGATAGCTAATCCCCTCTGCTGACATTTTACACCTCCCACAACGTGCTTACAAGGGCTGACCTCGGGGGTCAGAACGACATGACTGTGCTCATGCACGGGGTCGGTCTCACTCCCGCCACCCTTCGAGGGCGTAACAGCTGGTCGATGACTCAGCCGTGATTATGGGGGTCTGAAATCTCACATCACATCAGGACATCTCTGGCGTTCGGATGTGCCCATTGGGACTGATCGCCAGGACTAGACAAAACATATGTAGAACTTGGGCGCTGATTCTATCACGCTCTAAGGGCGTGTTAGCTTGCGTATAACCTGGACGAAGCTGTAAGGACTAACTCAAGCGGGTAGGTCAGCCACCCCTTGACCATGAGTCAGTCCATCTACTTGGTTATTGGGTCCGTGTAATGGTAGCTTTAAATGGATGTAAAAACTATTGGTTTAGTCATCACCATGAGGGGCTTCAGTTGGGAAAGAATCGAGCGGTAAAAAAAAGATGGTGGAACAAAATTTTGCGCTAGGTAGTGTACCTATGAGGGATCCCACTCGCAAGAGAAATGAAGATGCAACTCAGCAACGCTTATTCCATTGCGCACTTCATTGCAGGGTTTTGCTGTCCTTATCCACAGCAAAATTTTTCCCCTAGTAGGTTTCTGGAGCTTCTTCACACTACTGATTTATACTTCCCTGTAGCGACAAAATAAGGGTTAACTTTATTTCACAGAGGTAAAGTCAGAGCCACTTAAGTAACACACTTAACGTAAACACACATTTTGATTACAATTTGGTGAACCTTTTCCTCCTTTGGGCTTCGTCCTTGTAGTTACTCATGGTCAGTCTCATACTAGCCACTAATGTGGCATTTTGCTCCACCGCGGCCTTGATTTACCGAACACGAGTTATCATCTCACCCTAATGGGAGGGTTGGACCTGTTCCCTTCTCCCTCCCTCTCATAGTTGAGATTCTCGTCTTCTAACAGACTTCAAAGCTTAATATTATCCCGTTAGTTAACTATGCACTTATTCTTGTTACTATGTTCAAATTTTAAGAACCGCCAATTTGTATGACTGACGGTCATTTTTGTACTCATATTTTTCTTGCATGCATGAGCTTACCTTCGGGTTAATCCCGTCACAACCGCCTCCATCTCCTCCCTCTTCTCCCCCTCCTCCTCCTGCCCTTCTACGAAAGTACGCATTTCGGTCTCACATTTTGCACTCTTCTGCCTAATTTTGGGTGCTAGAATGCTATGATTCGCAAAGCATAGAATATATAAATCAAAAAATTTGCCCAGTCTAATGGAAGTGGCTTATGGCAAGTTCGGGATTTGGGTAGTCGCTGTATCAATTGTAACCACTGTGCTTGGGTTTAACAACTCCCCTTATTTACCGCATATGCAAACCTTTTTGCATGCATTAACCATAAAAACCTACGTCCCATACTATAAAGTTCATGCTCTACGAAGTGAAATACAATGTTAAAAGTTTCAATTTTAGTAGTACGAGCGCCATTCAAGGTTCATCATCACTCCAAGACTCTAAACGACTTATATAAATGAAATGGCGACGCACTCAAGATGTCATATGAGCAGAGTCAAATCACTAAATCACTTACTATACTGATTTATAAATTAAATTTGTGCTTCTCAAAGCTATAAATTGAGCCATTACTTCGGTTCTAACTTGGTTGCAGTACAAAAGTGATGGCTCGGGTAGAGGAGTGAAAAAGTATTTCCTAGCATTAACCGGTAATTTTAACACTAAAATTGCTTTTATCAAATTCAACCAGTTGAAATAAACAGAATGTTGCCAAAATGACTCATTATAATCAATAAGTGACACCACAAATAAACAAATATTGATTTGTTTTACTGTTCTTTCACGCTGTTTAAATGAGTCAATTGTGGCCTAGCGCATTCACAGCTAGTCGGTGGGATGAGTAAGTTCGCATCTCCGTCTCCGAGGGGAGCTCCCCTCCCGTCATCTACGCCTGCGATCAAGAGGTTTTCAGAACCGATTTCACCTCGAAGGGGTTACGGAAATGATGGAAGTCGGTGTAGTGATAGATGCTCTGGTAATCTTCATGAGATTTCTCCCATCGTTGGGACTTCTTCCTCATTCGATACTACTCGGCAGTCGAACGGACCAGACCGCTCTTTTGCATCTCCAAATGTGGACGATTCGGATCACAAAGAATTAACTACTGCAGATTTACTCGATAAACTTTCAAAAGATTCATCTGCGTTTGCTGGGCACTTGAGAAACTCTCTCCTTTATGGTGATCATCTGAGGACTGCTAACTTTATGGGCCTGGCTCCATCGTTGGGTTCGCCGACAGATACGATGTCTCTGCATTCCGCTCTTCTTGAAAGAATATGCAAATCATTGGTGCGGTGTATCAAGTCAGATGTTAGTATGACTTTGGAGTACAAAGAGGCCTGCCCTGAGGTGATTGGCGTTCAATCAAAGAATAGTGTAGTCGAAAGAGTTCCTGAAAATGCTAGGGTTGACGCTCAATCTATACTTCATCCAATTTTCGATTCCGATCGGTAAGTTCTCAGTTCTAATCACGCCCTTGTAGTATTACTAGCTCGTACGATTCACTGTCGAGGATTTATCGAACAAAATTCGCGTGCTTATATAAAGCTCGTCACAGGATTACCGGGCTGTTGTATTGCCTCAAGCGATCACTATCAGAAAGTGCCGATCACTACTTACATATAAGAGAAGCAATGAACGATGCTGGCGCACTTGCGCTGCTACAGCATGATAATATTGTTCGGTATTTCGATGCCTGGTCTGAATCAGAAACAATAGTTATGGCATTGGAATTTTGCCATGGGGGTAGCCTGTTTGACTACCTATATCCCAATAGACCATTTCCTTCTGGCATGGCTGTTCATGACAGTCTCATCGATAGGTCCTCAGAGGATCTTCAGTTAGCTATCCGCCCTCTCTCCGAACCAGGTCTGAAGCATCTATTGACCCAAATGAGTAGCGCATTGGCTTATTTGCACACAAATTTCAAACTTGTTCATGGTGACGTGAAGCCGAGTAATATTTTGCTTCAGCTACCGGATGACGAAGCTTCCAAAGCCTATTTCTCGGAAGAACTTGCGATTGATGCAAGTACACGATGCGTTGATGTAAGCACAATTTGATTTCGCTTCCATCATTATGTATGATACTCTGGGTTTCTCATGCAATTACTATTAATGTGTTTGTATTTTTAATTCATTTGAAGTTGACTGTAATTTTTTGTTGAAGATCCTTCAGTCTGACACCCCTTCTGGAATCATTTTCAAATTGTCTGATTTCGGAAGATCAACTCTTGCGGAACATGATACGATGCTGGAGGCCCTTGGGGACGGGCGCTACTTACCAAGTTTCGACGATGAGAGTGATCCCATACGCGTAGCCCTCGGTCGGGACGTGTATGCTCTCGGGGTGACTGTGTATCATTCAGTAGGGGTCGCAGCTGCACATCAAAATTCTCTCCCTTTTGTTTGTGTATTACTTATTGATATTTTTTAGGCTGGTGGGGATATGACCTTTAAAACATTGGATAGATTTCGGTCTGGGGGTTTTGATCCCGAAGATGCTCTAGTTCTTCCTTCGTCTCTACGTGCAATCGTTACGGTTAGTGCTTTTATGAACGTTACAAGTTTTAAAAGGTTGTCTTATGTATATTGAGGTTATGAACGTTTTGCGGGTTTCTTTGTAGTCCATGTTGCAACCCTACGCTGCAGATAGACCAACTTCATCGGAGGTGTTCGCTAGCATCTCGTGCGGCGGCAGTGAGTTGCGGTTCTCATAGGTGTTCACGCCGCGTTTCACTTCAGTAATCACTTGCACTGTTTTACCTTGTAGATTTATGAAAACATTAAGTGTTAGTAGGTTACATTAATGTGTGCATTGTACCATACTTCTCGTGAATATCTAGTTCGTCCTTTTAAACCAAGATTTTTGAGGTCTTGGGTGGGGGAGGGTGGATTTTTGTATACATTGTAGAAAGTAGTGGGCGGGAGGATACACTGGTCTTGTTATTAATTTGGATCTCAACTGGGATATGGTATCTACTTCTACGGGAGTTTCTTACCTACTCTTAATATGATCGTTTTCAGGATCACGGGTTACAGCCTAAAGAGCTTTGACTCGAAGAATCACGTATTCGATGGTCCCATTTTGGTGGTCTAGGTCACCAACATCAAGGTATGCATTTGAGGGTTGGTAATACTTAAACTAGTATGTTTTGGACAAAACGACTAATCCCGGTAGTCGTGACATTACAAGA